ATTCATCATGATTATACGAGAGAATATGTATACTTCGTCTTCATTTAGACTCTTGGAAGTTTTTATAGGAACGGGCACAGAGCGCCTCTCGGTAATAACTATGTTACTGAAATTAACGAGCGGCAATAGAGATCAAGCGTGAGATTAGCAAGTACATCATATTCAAGGGTGGGAGTGAAACCACCACCGCGGGCGATAGCTAATAAGTACGACGCCGTACTTTATCCGAGCATTCGACTACCCTTGAAAATGTTTTCGGTGGCGAATCGTTCGCGCATGTACGCTTCAAAAACGGCGCGAGTGCAACGGCCATAAAACATAGGTCGCTAGTTGCTTTCCAGGAAGCTTCCCCGCCGCTCTTTTTACCGACTTTAATTGAAGCCCCCGTATAACTTGAGGGATCTCACTCCCTACGTCTCGCTGTTGCTCTTTTTCCCCGGCTAGCCGCATTACTGTTCTGCCCTCGATGGAGCACTAGGACTATGAAGAAGTTTTATGCTTTTATTGCGCAGAAGCACACCGGGTGTACATACACCACATGCGTACCACACTAGCGAATGGAACTTGGCCGGTACATCGTAAAAAGACGATATCAACCGTGTATTCCTCAAACCCCGGTGTGTATCTTCCCATGGACGATTCTTGCCGCACGGAAGATGTATAAGAATGAAGGGTTCTTCCCGGCGTGTAATTTGTGTGTTTCTAGGATTATCAGCGTTCGTTCTGTCATTCATATGCAATTGTCTTTTAAAAAACGATAATTTTTCAATTGTATAAACGATACGTCTTGCAATTCTCCTTAATTGCAAATTCTTTGGCGAATTGAAAGTCGATTTTTCCTGAATAAAAATTCGATTAGAAATCATCTTTTCTCTTTTTTCATTTTTCGATATATCTATTTTTAATTTTCATAAATAAGCCATTGATTTTTCGTCGCTTGGAAATTCACTCGTGTAGGAAATTAAATTTAAATTCAGTATATAAATTTTTAAAAATCATCATTGGTTACACGGTTTTTCGTAAAAATCAAAATCTTTTATACAACCGCGAAACGCTTTCAGAATCAGCTTTGTGGACGTTCAACATTTAGCATTTGAGCGGATTGACGTCGTTTGGCGTCTTTCGAGTTTATGCACGACGGCAAAGAACTCACGGAGGCGCCACCGTAAACCGTACGTTGCACGCGGATTGTTAGAGCTTCCCCGGTCGCGTTTGACGCTTCTAAAGCACTCTATCGCTCCTTCTTTGATGTGGGTACTTCGGATGTTATGTCGCATGATAATATTATTATATACGATGGGTGCGTACACATTTACCGCACTCTAGGCGTCATATACGCGAGAATATATCGTGTATTATCGCGGATACGTGATTGGATAAGTTCGTCCTTTGCGAAATTCGTTACGATCCCGCGAACTCATCACCGAAGAAATATAATCCGTATGCGAGACCGCTGGATTACGATGGCCTTTCGAATATTTCGCATTAATAAACTTCCCAGCTATCTCGCTATGGTCGCGTACTCCGCATTTTGCACGTAATCTCGAATTAACTCTCCGTGTTTGCGTAAAGCGGAGTTACTACATTGTTACTATGCGAAATTATTGAATGTTCCAATAGCTTTCATTGCTTTCCCGAGAACAGTCGTAGAGGACATTTATTCATATTCAAGTATTTCCAACATATGTTCATTACAATAAGGGATTCCTCTGATCGTTATAAGACTTGAAATACGTTTGTTTTACGAATTACACGTGTTCATACCATAATCTCAAAATTTTGACAATTAGCAAAAATCAAAACGTACTTTAATTAAAGTTTTAATAAAAATTATTGCTTTTATCGTTTATCGTACAAAAATTTTCTCTTATCGAATTACGTTCTAATACGTTCTAATAAATCTTAACAATTTTTTATTTTAAATTATCACTTTTCTTGTTAAGAATTACAAAATAAAAAAAACATTGACTTTTATTTTATTCAATCAAAATTTAAACTATTTCGTGATATAATAATATAAAAGTTTAGAAACAAGATATATTGAAAAAATTTTCATTTAGCGTAGGAAAGAGCACAGTTGTAAAACGTTACTAGCGTGTTAGAAGCGTGCAATAAATTGAGCTACTTCTTCAAAAGTTTACTCGTAAAAAGCTCCAAGTATACAGTGTGTGTACGTGTATCATAAAAGAAAATTTGTGTATTAAGATAAACGAACTTCTAAATATACCGTACAGAACAATATTAAACTTCAAAAACTGACATTCGCTTGAATTCGATTGTGCATAAGTGTTTTACAGAGTTTAAGGAAGAACTTTTTGCAACATTGAAATTAATCTTCTTAAATAATTTTTATCTTTTTAGTGTCTGTAGGTGTTAATTGTTCGTAAAGTTACGTGTTAACTTTTCGCCATAATGCCGGAGAGCGTTTCACGAAAATTTTCACGAAGTACATTCTTTCGCATCCCTGTTGTGTCATTTCTTAACAGGACAAGGCGATTGAAAGTAAAGTTCATTCAGCCGTTTAACGTTTGAACGAAACGTAGACTCGCCGTCGCACTTTCGGCAAAGTTCTCGAGACCTTAGATTATGGTGTACTTTCTTCGGCCTCTTCCTCCGACATCTTTGCGGAAGAGGGTAAACTTCTCCTGCAGCTCTCGTATAAGGCCAGACGGGAGGGTGGCCCCGCACTCCTATACCTGTGTTTCTTTCACGTTATGGCCCTTCCAGCTAAACTTCCGGGCCATTAATTTACATTAGGACATTTTTCAAGAGCGTGCTATGCTCCCGGCGCCGCGCACCTTAAAATTGGCCAAGTCCTCTTTTTAACATCTCTTCTCTCTTACACGGAAGAGCCCTCGAGTCGCTCGCCCGCGCACCTCCCCTTGTCGACGTCACGCTCGAATTCTTCACCATTAAACGACGACGCGAAGAAAAAGGAACGAGCGAAGCGTATATGAGATAACTTCAGAATTTCATTTAACGACGGACGACGTGCAAGCGTGCACGCGGAAGGCGTTGGCGATCATTAAATCACGCCCGTCGGCGGATCCGTCGCGCGACTTGATTGATTTGTAAAGGGGCCCGTCCGCGTCGATATCCCGGGATCGGCGTTATACTCTTTGGATTCAACGGTGTTTACGTAACCGTATAAGTGCTACATATATCACCTGATAATTTTATTGCTGTCGTAGACACACACGTCGCAAATACATCGTGTCAACGTTTGAAACAAAGAATGCATTCGCCTGCTCGCTAAGTAATTTATTAACTCGTAAAACTCGGACTCCATAACATTAGCGCGCGTGAGCGGCTCTTGTCGCCCGTTTTTGAATTACTCCCCTCCACGCCCATTAAGCCGTGGTCTTGCGGCATGAGAACTCCGTATATCATTCTTGAAATTTCATTAGCAGTTTGCGCCATTAATGCGGGATACGATAAATATATAACGCAGGATACATGCTGTCATTGAAAAATTTATTCACTCGTAAAGCGCCGGCCGATAGTAGCACTCCGCTGGCAAATTCCTTATCGACAAGCGATCGTTAGGAAACGCCTAAACGTAATTAACTTTATGCTGTTACGAATATTCTAATCCTTCCTGTTTATGATCATAGTAATGCACAGCTAATCTCTACCGCGGTGATTTATGCTCTAGAAAGAGAGACAGACAGAGAGAGAGAGAGAGAGAGCGCAATATTTTGCATAAATGAACGAGCAGGAGGTAGAAATTCTGCCTCTCGAAATGAAAGACTGGCGTTTTCAGGACTGCGTTGTAAAAAAAAATAGAGAACTATCGAACGTATATCGTTCCCGAAAACTTTGATAAGAGAACCCTAGAATATCGGGTGTAGCACGCGATCGAAAAAAAAAATTGCTCGTAAAATGGGCCACCATGGACGTCAACGTACCGGTTTAATGTTCGTTCGCGCAAAAGCGCTCGAAGTAAAGAGAGACAGAATAACTGTCGTTGACATCATGTCAACGGCAACAAATATCCCCCCGGGGATATTTGGCAATATTTTTCAGTCGTAATACCTCTGTATTACGTTCATCGGTAACGGTCGTTACGACCGCGCTTAAGCCTCTGCTGACGTAATTTTTGATCAATCTATATCGCGTTCGAGTGTTCATGAGCGAGTATCGGGAATGTAAAGGGAAACTACCCAGGACGGCGCAGTCGAGTTTTCTTGTTCAACTCAATATGAAGGTAATAATGAAATCGAACTCTTTTCTTGTTACCGTTAAAGGATGGCGTATACTATTCCGTTGGAAACGCACGCTTTATACCGTCGGTCTGCTTCCGCCCCTTGCAGCTACATTCATTTCTCATTTCGAACACGTCGATGCTCGGAGCCAGAGCTAAACTCGAAAGTAGAAGAGAGAAAATCAACTTATGAAAGCCGGTGCTCGATCTAACAAGTCCCTGTTTAAAGTTCAGGACTCCAGTTGCAAAGTGCCAATGACTCCGGCGCTTTCAAATTGTATTTAAACAAAATAGTTTATAACAGGACGAATTCGTGATGCGAATAATATATTTTAATTGCCTTTTATAACTCGCGTTTTGTAATGTAATTAGTAACGCGAAAAGAATAATAGATTTTGCTATTTATTTGTCGCAAGCGTATCTAAATAAAAATTGTATCTATTACATTAAACAAATAAAACAGAAATTAAGATATCGTGTGAATACTTTTTAAAAAAATTCAAATAAAATTAATTTTAAATTAAACTGCGTGAAATTATTTTATTAATTATTATTATTATTATTAATACATGCTGTTTAAACATTGAAATTAATTTACGAAATCAAGGAAGAAAAATCTTAAAATAAATGTTTTGTTTTAATTAAACGCTGTTTGCGAGATTATTCAACCGGAAAATTAAAGATATTTTGGTTTTATTAATTTATATGTACGTTACCGTAATATGAACCCATATTTTACTCATGCAATATTCGAGATAACGATTCACATAAATGAATCTTTATATTTTTGTTTCAGCATACACTCACAGGCCACTGCGCAAAGGTGATGGCGGCAAAGTTTCTTGGCGAGCCGTCGAAAGTAGTTACGGGAAGTTATGATCGGACTTTAAAAATCTGGGATCTGCGCAGCAAAGCATGTAAGTGAATTTTATCGATTAAAGAGAACGGAAAGCAGGCTCTCTTCTCGAGACATCCGTTAATAAGGATATAATCATGATTACGAGCCGTTAATCTGTTAAGTTATTGAAATCGCAAGATTAGCGATCGTCATCTTGTACAAGATGTCCCAGGTATCAGGTAGATCTCCCGAGAGAAAGAAGGGATCAAGGAAATCGCGAATGTAAAGATCCGATTCCGAATTTCCACGGTACGGTTTAAAGCACTTTAATTAAACTAGTTTATGCAAAACAATTCTGAATCTCATCTGCGTATATTTACCGACAATCGAGGTCTTTGCCTGGGTTAATCCCGAAATGCTGCCGGACTCCGGAGCTGCGTAAAACAACGACGATAAATACTTTCAAGGCGGGCGGAAGAAAATTTTAAGCGGCTATTGCTCGCGGCCGACATATCGGGTTGCATAATGTTAACGCGGTACATTTATTCCGATCTCATAACAGAAGTTGCGCGGGGAGGTATGGGCCGAAAGTAAGGCACGCTTAGCGCTAGCGGTAATCACGTTGCCCATTACCCCTATTAGTCGTTGCATAATGCAGATACACTTACGAGCGCTTCAAGATAATAAAACAAACGGCGAATCTGCATGGTCATTCATATGCATATTCCGTTGCACGTCGTACGCGGCTGCACAATGGACCGCCACGGAAAATATGACGCCCATAATGCCCGGCCCGGTTCGTACGAGGCGCACCGGCATCAGCGGCGACGCCGTAATGGCGAAGATGGGAATAAAAACTACCCTCCCACCCCCGGGCTAACAGACGGTCCGTTGCGTCTCTCCACGTGGATACGTTAATTAAATCGATAAGATTCTTCCGCGGAAGAACAGATTCTTCTCTCACTTGTTTCGCCCTTAAACGCGAGTCTTATCGGTACAGAAAACTTTTTATCTCGGATTATTGACGCTCTTAATAGACGATCCCTGCGGATAATGGTACGGATTTTGGAGGAAGTTGTAATTTGCGGTGATTGAATAAATATACGAACGGAGACAAAATGTGGAAAATCGCACGAGGTAACCCGGTGATTCTTTACTCGAACGGCCTCGAAATTGAAAGCGGCGCGCGAATCGATGCGATAATAAAGATAGATTTATGTAATCTAATGAATGATCTGTCAGAAAAGAAAAGCGAGATTAATCACAAATCCATTACTTGCGGGAAAGGGGTGACATTTTAATTAACTCTTAAACTAGGACACAGGTTTATCCAGGACAAGATATAAGAGATGATTCTGTTATACTCAGATCTTCATTACGTCATTAATCAATTTCTGATGAAAATTATCTCATACTTAACATTAAAACTAATTTGTTCTTAAATTAAGACAGAAAACTCTTGCTTAAAAAATGTTAAAAACATCAGTTCTCTCGAAATTTTAATTGACCCTTCAATCTGCGTTATGCTTTATCGCCATCAATTATAATTTAAAAAACATGTGTAATAATGCAAACAACATAAGGTTTTAGGTTGAAAAATACCAATGTAAATATCGGGAGTAAATTTTCAAAATTGTAATGCATCAATATTGATTTTCCTTGTATATTACGTCTATTGTCCGAAGAACTCCCCTCTTCTTGATGTGTATAGGATCTGTTTGAATACAGATGACATGGGAATTATACCCATCAGTACGTGCATTCACGTCTACTAGTTTTCGGTTCGAATGCGTACGGTCGCCATTAGAAGCCCTTTTGTCCTAGAAAGTTCACGCGTCGTGATCTAATTTCACGCGACAGCTCCCACAGTCGGGTGTGAATAATCGCGAATGCCGGATGCGATAGTCGAGCCTTTCCCCGCGAACATTATCGTGACCTTCGACTGGCAGGTGTTGGACGAGGGGCTATACCTGTATCCGCATAAAGGTCTAATGGTGCGGCTTCCGAGTCATTGAAAATCGCCAGTGCAGCCAGAATAGTAACACGATAATTCCACGTATTCAAGGGCAAATGTAATTTCTCCTTCCCAGAAAGCTCTTTCCGAGCAGAATGCGCGCGGACATCGTGATCAGTACACGTGCAAAACGCCAAGATCCTCCTCGACGCTCTTCCGTTGTGGATTTATCACATTAATTGTCGAAGAAAAGCAGGGGGGGGGGCGACTTGTTCAACCATTTGCTCTCCGACGCGAACTACTTCGACGTATCGAATCGTAGTCCGTTCACCCGTAAAATAGAAGAATCTTTCATCGCGCTTTCGGCGACGGTGCCGAGACTCTACGCGATAAGCGCGCCGCTCCGAAGACAGGGGGCGGAAAGTGATAATTTACAGCCGGATGAAAGTGGCCATTCTCGAGGTAAAGCACAGATCGCGGTTCGCGTCCTCAATGCGAAATGTAGGGGGCTTTAAGTGGCGGTGGAAAAATAAATTGAGTAAGGCCGCACGCAGGCGGCCGGACGCGCGCAGATAGCGTGGCCACGGAGGATCTCATTTCCCGCAAATGTATTCGGGATTTACATTCGACTCTGGGCGCCGCACTAATCTCGTGAAACGGCGCGCTCTATCTGAAGAACGGCTCGAGATATCGATTTACACTACGGTCAACAGCGCTACGGAATTCTGCGGTGTGTGCGGCCAGTAGCCGAGGAATCGTATTGACAAAGGATACAAAGCTGCAGAGACTGCTTAATACGATGGCGTACTGCAGGTAGTATTAATTTGCAAAGTCCAGAAAATCGCCTTAAACACAGCCTTTAGTTACCGTTTGCTCGGCACGCGGAATAATAATTTGCGTCATTAACCAGCGTGTATAAGCGTTTGCCGAATTTTCAATAAATCGCATCACACCGTGTTTCGTCAAAGAAATATCGTTATATCTTCTATTGAGGTATATAATTAATGAATGAAAATAAAATTATCTCCATTATCTGTGAGATACTAATAATAAATATAAAAAAATTGTTTTTAACATTTCGGTGATCAAATATCAAAACATGCAATGCGAATACAATATTATATTTTTATTTTTACAAATTATAGAATTAAAGATATTTTCATTCTTTCATGATCTTTTTTTATGACTCGACAATTATAGTCACTGACCGTTTTATGGCCATGTACATCAATGATTTCATTTATAAAAAGACAACTAACGGGCATCTGATGCTACAAATTTTAACAACAGTTGATTTGCTTTTATTTCATACCATTGAAACACTCCAAACAAAAACTGCATTCGCACAAATTAAATGATAGATAAGTGTGTGCGGCTATTGCAGGGAGAATAAACTGTCGGATATTATTGCTAATAGAATAAAACATCGGTTTTATCAACAATGACTCGTTTTCGCGTATGTTTACTTGTACTTGCACGTTTGTTTTTTAGTATTCATTTTAGTTGTTATTGCTTTACGTAAAAAAAATAAATAAAATTAAATAATATAACATTAATGATCACAAGAATTATTATAACGGAATTGCATAAAACTTTTTTGTTTGAACTGGACAAACGCGTTTGAGAATAACCTGCCTTTTATATTAAGTTAATACTGAAAGCGTAAAGTGCGAAGTTTCCTACACGAGGACGGACACAGCCGAGAGAACTGCATTACTTCGCGATATGCAGGCCCTTATGAAAGTTGAAGAGCGTAATTTCGAAAAGTGTATCTCCTTAAATCAAGTCGCCTAAAGTGATACAGTACCCGGAGTTCTAGCGGGCGATAATTAATGTAAGAAGTCGAGCGCCATCACAAATCGTCCGACCGAGTTTGCGGTCGGCCATCAAACTTGTTACATAAATACGAAACTTTTTCGCCGGCGAATACACCTTGCGCACACTCGGGGCAAAGGAATCTGTTTTATTATTATTATTTTTTTTTTTATGCAACGCGGATAACAACGGGTATGCGCGTGCGGTGTAATTAACCTGTGGCTTAACTTCGTCCACGTAATTTATAGCTGTCGTCTCGTCGGGTCATTCAGTAGTCGAGTCCAAGTTAATTGTGCGCACGTCGGGGCACGCGGATACCTGCGTGGATACACACAGGTATATACTCCGGGGACATCCGTTTTAGCCTTGCCGCGGCCTTTTGTGTTGTTGTGCCGTGGTCCTACAGCAAAATAGCGAAAACCGCGCTATCAAGGAAGACCGGCGGTGCTTGTACAAAAGTTTCGCACAAATAAATCTCCGAACGCGAGGCGCGCACAATGGGAAAGCGGCGCTGAAAGGGCGTTTAAGCGTGAATTATTGTTTACCGCGGACGCTTTAAGACAAAAAGGACGCTTAAAGTGGATCAGCTGTTTTCTATCGCGCTATTATCTACCTCGCCACGTCGCCGCGCAATTTCGTGGACGCCCCGAGCGACTCTTCTGGACACAATCGTGTGCTGCAGACAGACGTATTCCACCGGCGAAATAACATCCCCGTGTCACGCATTCGCCATTGACTGAAAAGACGTGCCAAATGCTCTCTAACGTTCCGAGAAATTAATCGTCACCATTGTATTTCTGTCGTGTACATTGCATACCACTTAAATTGTGTTTCGTTAACTTATTGTTAGAACTGTCTTTCTTTTACATAATCTATACATAAAAGACTACTTCGGAATTTTATTTTATTAACTTTTATTTTTAATTTTGCAAAATACAGTGTGCAAAAACATATAAGAATTAACAGAACGATTCAAAGAATTGCCATGCTATGTCAGTTATTAAATAAAAAATATAAATTATCTGTCTTACACTGGATTTCCAAAAGTTATCACGCTGTCCTATTAAATTTTTGTTGAAGAGAGATCGACTTAATCTTTAAATGAAAGAATCCGTAAATGAAAGGTTCGGTAGATTTAAGGCAATTATATTTAAATAACATACACCTAAATAACATACACCTAAAATGCATTAATGTGGAATACATATTAATTTGAAAAGCACGAGGGAGGCCAAATTAACATCCTGAAAGCTCTTATCATGACTGACGGTTGAAGAAGGCTTATACGAAAAGCCGGTAATCCTTTATGCCTTGTTTGAGGGATAGATTCACGTTAATAGCATGTATATAATGCATTTATCTGAATAATACATTGGGCTTAAGGATCAATACATAAAGAATTATATTATAGATAAGGAATATATAATTTTATATTATACATATAGATAAGGAATAGATAATTTTTGCGCGACATGCAAGGATTGAGCTGTGCGAAGTTGGCCTCCCCTTCCCACTATTAAAAATTCAAAAACGACCATTGCCACTCGATTGATGATCGATTGATAGTATTTGGTAGTTTATTCTCGATGATTGGTAGTCAAAGTTGTAAATAATAATATGAAAAAGACATACACGCGTGAAGTTAACCCCTCCTTTCGCAAAATATGACTTTCCAGACCAGAGATTACGTTAAAAAAGAAAGTATTTGTTTTGATGGCATAAAATCATGAAATTTCTTGCATATTTAATTAATATAACTAGCTGCGCCTTTTGTTTTTTTTTCTGTTTACCAAGCGAAATTGTCGTAAAGGTAAACGCTGTTATAATATATTAAAGGAAGGACAGTTGTGTAGAAGAGATTATTCTTGTTGATATCTCTGGAGAAATGTCATGCTTTTTGCAAGAAAATTTGTACCCGAGGAAAAGGAAAGATTGTCTAACGAGATATCAGAAATTAACATCGTCGTTGTGACCAGAGGGACGCGTATAGAACGATGATTAAGTCGGGCTAACACTCTTGTCTTACCGTCATCATCATTACGACTCAAATCTAGTCATCAAATGGAAACATTCACGCATTATTCCGAGTACGGTTGCAGTAGAAGTCCCTTTGTGCGCCTTGCCGCGCGGTAGCGCACTCGCGGAGATATGTTTTGCCTGCTAATGATTTTTACGTCGACGTTTATTAGCCGTACGCGTCTCGCGTATTTTACTGAATCGTGATAGGCGGCGCGTTGCGAATGCATTGTGGCACGGTTACTTGTTGCGAGATAAGACCGTCTGTGAACCGTGCGCGGCATTCAGGTGAGATAGGAATTGTCGACAAATTTCTCTTTATGCACGAATGCGCTTTAAAAGAAATTTTATTACTTTTCATAGAGGTGCCCTACTCATCACGTTTGAAGCTTGTAAAGTTTGCTTTCTGTGAAACTTCTGTATCGAATTATGAAAATTAAGTATACGTTACGCGCGCAAATGTCACTGTCATAAGTATACGTATTACATATCTGAGTATAGTGTCACAATATAACAAAAAAGTGCTTATGAAATATCAGAAAAAAACAGTGTGCGCTGATTATTTTTTAAATTATCTTGCATAATTTGGCTCGAAACTTTTGTGTTTTTATAATCACGTATTCGACATCGCATTATTTTAAAATAAATTATTATTTTTCTGCAGAAAATTGCTCGTTATTATTACAATTGTTATGATTACATAATTTTAGGGAAAATCAAATTTAAAATTAATTTAAAATTAATTACAACAGTTTTTCTTCACTGCAAAAGTTTTTCACAGAATTATTAAAAAGCAAACATTTGATATTCCAGTGGAGAAGGAAAAAATTAAACGTAATTATAGTTTACACTAGCTCAGAAGTTCCGTTGATACGACTAATTGAGAAACAGTTTCTAAGGCGCGATCGTAATTGAATATACGCGTTTGGAACATACAAAGCTTGCTTGCGACGGAAGAAGCTTTCCTCCGTTGGCATGGTACACTGTCGCGAAGTAATTGGAGTTCGTAATACCATTTTCGGATAGAAACGCTGGACATCATTTGCTAGCCGAGGGTCTCGTTGTAGAAACTTGGACAGACTAATCGATCGGACGATAAATCACGTTTGATTTAACACAGGGCCACGATAAAGTAGGATGGAAACTGGCGTACGGATTCGTAATCGTACAAAGGCCGAGGTTAAGGAAAGGTGGAATAGAGAAGGGCGGGGTAAGGGGAGGCCGTAAGCGGAAAACTCGTAATTTATCCTGTTTCCAGTCTTGATGCCGGGCATTTCCGCGACGCGCTAGCGATTTCCAAGAGCTTCGCGGAAACGTGGCGACGCGAATGTCATTTCCCGACGTAAATTAAGTTTGAAATCCTGCTTATTTCAGCGTGGAGATCGATGAAAGCTGCTACTAGGTAGAGCTACAGTTTGAAAGGGGAAACCAGCCGTGATTCACATTCGATACAATCACTGTTATACTCGCTCCGTTTAAAGTCGGCACAATTCGCGAGGAGGACGTAATTCTATTATGCTCGTGGAATGCTCAAATTAAATGCAGAAAGCAGTATAATCAAATTAAAGTGCGTATAATTTATCCTTGAAGGATGAATTTTACGTCTGAAGGCTTGCGTGTTCTGAAAATTCTACCTAATATAAAAAAAAATACACTAGTAACTTTTTTTTAAATCGCAATTTGATCGTAATTAATAATACGTGCACAATAAATTATTGCACGTTATAATGATCTATCTTTTAATTACTATATGTAGATTAAATGATAAAGAATGTATTAAAGCATTCATTAATATATTATTTTCCAATACTATTGAAGATACTTAAAAAAAAGTACAAGAACTATAGAGTTAATTCTTCTTGCATATTTGTATCATCTATTCATGAAATTATCGATATGAAATTATCGACAATTTTTATTCAAATAAAAAGAATTATTTCTCAAGAACTATTTTTCTAATTTTTTGAAATTTTCTATCTAAATAATATAAACAAATAAAATAATAGAATTGCTATTTAATTGCACGAATGCATCCTTTAAGAGTAAGAAACTTTATGTTGCAGGTATAGAAACGAAATTCGCCGGTTCGAGTTGTAATGATCTCGTAACTTCCGACGGAGCTGGCTCTACAATAATTAGTGGTCATTTTGATCAAAGGATCAGGTTTTGGGACACTAGAGCCGAATCCAGCTCAAATGATATTCTGTTGGAAGGAAAAGTTACATCCTTAGATTTATCCCGCGGTAAGTAAAGCTAATTTATTTTAGGCGAATAAGGAAAATTTTTTAAAACGTATGCTACAAGGAATCAATAATCATAAGATTTTTTATTCTCTATTGCAAAATGTAGCTGCATCGTCGAAATTGGGATTAATTAAGCACATTATTCTGTAAATATATTTAATACGGATTGTAATTCAGTGATTATGTTTGATATCGTTACGATAATAATTATATGTCTCTGATAATATCAGAGGATTTTGATTCTATATTATGTAACTATACTATAATATGTACAATGTGCTCGTGCATTTTTCAATATCGATTAAGGTATGTCAAATGGAATAACAACTGGTTATTATCACGGTTATGTTAATTATTTATATAAAATATACGATTTGATAAAAGTATCGCTGATATTGCCGTGAAAGCGTGTATTGACGTTTATTGTATTTTATTCGTATTATTTATTTTATAAAAAATATATGAATTTCTCTCATATTTTCAACGGGAACTAAATTAATAATAAAGTTTTCCGTATTCAGAAATTTTATTCTGATTAAAAGAGAAAGAAAAATGTTCTATGCACGACTATAAAAATAGAAATAGACATTGTAGCGCGCGGGTGCGCTTTATAATACATTAATATTGAAAATAGTACAAGTGTAAATTTAATACAGAAAGCTTCTTCTGTTCTATCTAATTTATAATTACAAAGGCGCAGCTACAAATGCACGAGTGATATAAGTTTAAACACTGAAACAAAACCGTATTTCTTCGTTTAATAATTGAACAAAATACATGAACCAAATTAAACTACATAGAACATCTTAAGTATTTAAGACATGCAAAATTATGTGAACCAGTTATTTTAATTATAGCGTTAAATGGAACAGCGGAAATATTATAAATTTTATATAGCATACGTAACGCGTATCTATCGGGGATAATTAATACGACGGGGAAAGATATTAATTGGTATTTCACGGCAACTCTACACGATGCATTTCATTTATGGATTTTATTCGCGCTACGCAAATAATGTTATTTCGTTTTCGCTTTTTATCGCAACGTCCTAATGACGTGAATGAATTGGCCCGCGCGATTCTGCAGTATTCTCAAAGCACTTGTATCAGCTGCAAGTGCGCCCCGCTCGTACAAGAGTACTTCATTCAGATATATTGTTCTATCGCATTTCATTAATCCCGATATTGCCGCCAGAACGCGAAATGAATTCAAGTGGAGCGATATCGGTCCGATTTTTAACTTCTACAGTTAAACAGGTATATCGTGTCTCTCTACTATTTTTTTCCATTATTCGTTATATATTCATTTAAAAGAGATTCGAGTTGAAACGAGCCCAAATGGTCCTGCATCATTCCTCGGATCGATATGGCTACGGGAAAAAAAAAAATTACAAACGTGCGTCATTTCGACGCACGGCGAATTCGCATACCCCGTACAAGTTCATTGCATCGTAATTAGATCTTTTAACGCTTAGAATTATTGCGTCACGATCGTTACATTCCATGGATGCGCTTTTACTGACGGTTTACGTATTCGATACATAACGAGATATTTGTTCGGTTGACGTTGCAATACCGCAAACATTCAGGCGTGAGCAGTTTAAATATTATTCAATCTTATGCACGAATGCGAAATTATAAAGGAATTCCATTCGATTTCAGACGCAAATTACCTTTTGAGTTGCGTGAGGGATGACACGGTAAAACTGATTGATTTACGAATGAAGAAGATTGTCGGATCGTTCAGGTAGGTCGTGCATTTTTGTCCATATGTGCGTAAGTAGAATATTAAAGGTACGAGTAGTAAATTGTCGTATTTTTATTTTTTATTTTGCAGCGCCGACGGTTTCAAAGTGGGATTCGATTGGACAAGAGCTGCTTTCAGCCCTGACGGGCAGTACATAGCGGTCGGTTCCGCGGATGGTTCCGTTTTCATCTGGTCTATAGTGACGAATGCGATCGAAACGATACTAAAGGAACACACGTGAGTAAAGATAACACATTATCGTAACTAATATTTGAAAAGTGTAAAACCATTTTCTATGGAAAAATGGTAGATTGGCAGGAAAGCTTAATAAATTAAATTATATATTATTACTTCGGTAAAGTAATTAGATGTTATTAGCCGCGTATTTTGAAAGATATAAACGGATTGTAGAACGTTAAAAGAAAGTTATAAAGTAAATTCTGTTTAGTTAATCGAACTCGTCTATATATGACTTATAATATCGAAACTACGAAACGTATCCTTTGATATAGCTTTACCGTTTTTATCGTTTTCATATTATATATTCTTGATCGGATATTTAGGTTTTCTGCCCTAGAGACAAAAAATCGTAGTCCTTTCATCGATTGGAATGTGCAATACCGATATTAAAGGTTGAGCCGTTATAAAATGAGCGTACGGAAAAAAAGGACTAATAAATTTTATGTGACTTTAATCGTCTATGTTTGCCAATGATGAAAAGACATATTAAAACGAGAAATTTTGTTCCCGATATTTTATCGAATATTGATTTAGGGCTAATCCGGTATTGAGGCATTCAATGGAAGGCAGCTTGCTGCGCCAATCTTTCATAAAGCTCGTCGTCTTATCTTAATATAGCCTTTTTATTGCAGTTTTTTTTTATTTCGTAATCCGACATACTTATTCTATGTTATTATATTAAAATCAATACGATATTATATTATTGCTTCTAGAGCATATAATCCGAAGATATTGGAATGTACAAAAATTGACGTTTACGCTTTTAGTTGTTTTATTTATTAATTTTTATAGTCAGTCTTATGAACGGACCGTACGATCTAAGAGATTATTTTCCGGCTGCTGCATTCGCGACATTTCTCGATCCCGTCCACGCGCGCGACTTTATATTTGCGGTCACGAAATCGATAGCGCGCGGGTCCGCTATTGCTCTTTCTATCTCGGCGTGTGACGCACCACCGTTATAATTTATTTCTCTTTGCTCTTTTTTTTTTACCATGATACGTTTTGACCCATTTGACGGATGCGAATTTCTCGTTTAAATTCACTCGCTGCGGCACTAAAGCGTCCGTAATTTTTGGAGGCACCTTCGAGTGCTCTGCATACCCACCTGGCATAAAAAGTTTCTGAAGTACTTCGGTCCATCGTACGCAGCGCATGTAAACACACCACACACACCCACACACATACACACGTATGCACACGCATACGTGTACGTACACATATATACACGAAGAAAAAGATTCGCGCAGCGGGGAGGGGCCACACACATACACCGAAGGGGATCAAGAAAATATTTCAACGTGACCCGATTTTTGCTTCAACTTTTACACGATGTGTATCCACGTACACATAACCGCCCGTATATGTATGCAATATCGGCGGTGTGACTTCGCGAATTTATATTATCCAAGACATCTTGGATATACTCTGTACTCTCGCCGGCGTCCACGTCGGCTCTCGTCATTGAGTATGTCGCTCCGAGTGACCGAAGGCTCGTTCACCCCGGCCGGGCCCCTCGGAGTTATACGGAAAGCGAAAACGTGAAAAATCCGCGGAAAGAGAAAGAAGCGCGTCGCGGATGCGGCGAGAAATGAAAGTGGCATATAGGCAACAACGTATCTCGTCCGCGTGCTTTCAGCGCCCTTTCACCTACACGAGCCACGCTGATGGACGCGTTAATCGGCGGTATCTCACGGGGAATGCGGTGTAAGGATCGCTCCTACTACCGAGGTGCAGAAAATCGATGTGTTTTAAACACTAAAAACGTCAATTATGCTATTACGGCCGCAGGGATGGTTAAACATGATATTACCTGTAAATCAATAGCAAGCGCGGTTAACAATTTCCGGGTGCCCCCTCGTAACAATAACTTCACAATACCTAACAACTCATAAATTGACGAACAATTGAAATACCAGCTCTTCTTGCAGGAGGAACTTCACCCAGCAAGATTAATGTAACATAAAATTGTTGAAATATTTCTCCTGATCCTGCTATATAAGTATATGCAGTTTATGATTATGTGTGCGTTAAATTTATGTTAATACAAAATGAAAAAAAAAAATTACCGCTTGAAACGAACGTCACGCGGAGTGACTTCTCGACGTGAAATAAGTCCTACAGATTGTTAAAAGACAATAACGTTTAATTATTCTCAACTGACACGTCGTGCCTCGTACCAATCAAACTATAATTACGTTAGTGCAGCAATTAGTTATTACATGCATGTTGGAGCATTTAAGAATTAAGTAATTGGCTTAATAGTTCGTAATTGCGACAGTATCATCCTACACAAGCATTAATAAGTTTGTCATTTTAGAAAAGCATCCTCATCATATTTCTAATAGTTTTTAAATTAATCGAGTGTTAAGTCTAATTAAATTGAACGTGAGATGTATAGATCCATTGAACTCTTAACGTGATCTCATCATAAAGCAAAAATACTCCGTCCAATGAAAAGATTGCTGCGTTTTAATTTTTCGTCACATTGGAAAGTAAGGGCTACTTGTTGAAAGGAAAATAACCCGTTGCGCTTTTGGCCCCCGTTTCATGGCCATACACGGAGGCACGTCGCCGATCGTTTTTGAACAATCGACCGAGTCTCGCGGAGGGATAGATCGTAAGAGATCCGTTCTACGATTATCGTCTCTCCCTTCCCGCCCGAGAAACCCGCGCTCCTCTCTGTCGCGGCGGCCGACCGTGCCGTCCTCGGCCTCCTCGAGTTTCTCAAGGACGCGGGATCTTTGGCGGTGGCTTCTCTTCTCTGGGAAAGCCCAGCGGGCGGCTCGAGTCCGGCGTGCATCTAAGTACCGGTCGTATCGAAAAATGGCTTAAGCACCAGTCACGTACACGTCGCCCGGCGCCGGTGTGTGCGCGGTTCCTCGCGTATATACGCGCGTGTTTCACTGTTATTACTTTCACCCTAGGCCGGGACGTAGACGGTGTTCGTGGTCATCGTCATCTTTCGTCGTTGTCGTTGTTGTCGTCGTTGTCGTCGTCGTCGTCGTCATCGTCTCCCATCTCTCCTCCGCGTCCTCTTCGTCTTCATTCTTCCACCCGGATCGTTGTCCGGTCGTCTTCGTTTTCGCCTTCATCTTCACGGCGGTCGGCGCGGGTTCGCGGTCGTTGCGGCGCGCAACCATCGCACGAAGGTAGATCGTATAATTCGTACGTTGCGCTCGCTTCAGGAATCTCCGAGACTAACTTAATAAGCGCCTCGCCCTTTCACCCTCTTTTCTCCGTTCCGTTCTCTTACAGCGCTCCGTAACGCGCAAGAAGCTGTACGATTCCGTAGGTATTTAATGCATGCGCTCACACCGGGCGTGCGCATTTGCGCGATGCGACTAGGCGCTGCCTGTCGCGGTCCGAGCTATGAAATTTAGATGTTATGCGAAACGCGCGAGTACGCGAATTAAGGTAATAGTCGCGGAAGCCGACTAGTTTGTTTCCACGATATCTTCTGTGCCAGTAAATCCGCGATAAACATTATATAAGATTTCATAAGGATTAGTTATACGTTTTGCAAAGAAAATATTGCGGTTAAAGTAACAAGTATAAGAAAACTGTTATATAATTTTTTATAAATCTCAATTTATATTGATCTAACGGAGACTTTAATCGTTAAAAATGCTTTCTTTCGCGATTAACTTTATTTTAAATCCCTCCCATACTCTGTACACTAATCTAACGTTAGTAACATTATCTTTACGTGACACACATAAGCTACTTAAAAAAGTATAGTTTTTTGCGTATCTCTATTAAACGCACGTAAACCGCCGTTGCCGTTCGTTCCGTATCCACCAATCGAGGAGCTATTCGGCATAACTTCCTTTCTGCGAGCACTTAGACTCGAATGCGCAATATTGCCCGATAAGCTTACACGCCCGTTCGTGTTCTAATTTGCAATCAACCGGCAAAATCCGCCGGTACACACGTCGGAAGGCGGGAATTTACTGCGCGATCCCCCAGCGAATAAATAGTGCCGCGCGATTATAGCAGAACAGGTAATTAGGAAAACAGGGGAGAGGGATCAGGTTATACCGGCAAGTTCCTCGGGCTTTGAAATTAAAGTGCCGTTTTCTCGAACTATATTTACGATTCGGCGCATTACGGAATCAGTGACCTCATTATATTCGGAGCTTTTCAACGAGAGATGTACAGCCGCCGGATATTTTCCGCTCATTTCATCCCATTCTATCGTGATTACTGCTTGTTGGACTTTAGAGCAGGTAAAAAAACATTACTCAGAAACTATGAACTAAGTAAGTAATTAATCGAGTATACTGTTAAGAGCAATTCATAAAATTATCATCTTGTCTTCCGATTCTCCAAAAGTTGATTGAAGTGCTTAATTGCACTTATATATAGAATTCGAACGACTCACAACTCAATTACACAAGTTTTCCTTTACACCTGTCCAAAGTGTCGGCGCGGCCGTTAAACGCCACGTGCTGCAATTGAGTAGCGATCGTATGATTTGTGTTAGCTTGTTATTAATAAATAATATGCGTAGCAGGTTACGGTAACAGTATAGGTTATTATTCCCGTCGGGTGGTATAACTGACAAGTAACAACATCTCGTAAAGATTACTGCGCCGTATATCAGTCACGCATGCATTTATGGCGATTTCGTCCCGTATTTTACGAGAGGTTGCCACGGTGGTTATAAGGGCATAACTGAAACACCTAGGAAAGTAGTTCGATTAATGTATATCATGGTGTGTTTTTGCAACCGCGACGCGCGCGTATAATCCTCCTTTTTTTTCAGTGCCTCGAGTGTATTGTCGTAACTTCGCGAGTGTCGCGCGCGCCCTCGTCACGTATTCCGCGCGAGAGGCCGGGGATCTTTTCCTCCGCGACTTCCGGCACCAGCGAGAGCGGCAGTTTCATTCCCGCGCGATCTCACATCCGCCGCCGCCCGCGCCGTAGCGACGCGGCGCGCAGAGTTTTCACGCGCGTCCGTCTTCCGAGCTTCTCGCAACCCGAAGTTCACCGTG